GCGCTGGATGTCCCGGTTTGGTAGGAAGGGCTCGCCTCTTTCATATGTTTTTAGGCAATCCTTTAACCATTTGATGGCATCAACATTTAGATACTGCTTTGCAATTTGGTGGAGTTTGCTAGTGACGGCCTCCTCAGAACCCCGTGATGGGACTTTTTTAACTTGGTTCTCAAGCTTGAACTGGTCATGGGAATAGCACTTGGACACCGACGAAACATCTTTCATCGGAACATAAACTGGCCTTATGGTGATTGGATGCTTCTTTCGAAGTTCCCATTCAGGCACGTCCTCATCTTCTTGTGCATCACCTTCTTCAGGAGGCACTCATTGTTCATGTATCGGCTGTGCTTGTTGAGAAGACTGTGGCATCTCATCATGCACTTGCTCAGTACGAGCTGGAGAAGGTTGTGGCATCTCATCAGGCACATGCTTGCTAGGAGGCGGGGAAGAATGTGGCATCTCAGGAATGTGGTGGTCACGAGACGGTGAAAATATCTCCCCGACCTCAACAACTCGCTCCAAATTTGGGAGAGGGGGAGGCAGCGAAGAAGCAGTCAATATAATGTCCCGTTTGTGCCAGAGGATGAACTGCCCCATAACGTCTCTGAGTAACACCAGCCCCTCAGGAGTTGCGTAGTCTATCCTACACTGCATGAACTCGGGCTTCACGGTATGCACCTCGACCCTAGTGTAGTCCGGCGGTATCTTATTATTGTGGTGTAAGCCACCGGGAGGATGTGCCACACCAGTTGCCACCACCATCACAGTGTTCTGCCGGCCACTGAGAAACACCAAGGTGCAACTAGTTGGTTCCCGTATGTGATCGACGGGGGTTGTGGCTATAGTGGAACCTTGGCTACTAGAAACTTTTAGAGGGCTGCCAACTAATGCCAGCTCTCCCAGCGGTGTCACTAATATCCGTGGCTCCGTAGACAGTCCTTGCTCCTCCAACGCCTACGCAACTAGAGCCTTCACTTGGAGCTCAAGATTAGTCTCCCGGTCTCTGCTATGTTTCTTGTACATGTGCATGTCCTCTTTGAATCCTTGCTTCCAGGTCGTCCTTTTCCCTAGCCCCCTGGTGCGGCCTGTGTGCTCCTTTTTTCCCAAGCCAAGGCTAAGCTCGTCCCTCTCTCTGGAAGGATTGAATGAGCCTTTCTCCTTGTCTTCAGCATATTTCAGTATCCTTGATACTGCCTCTTGGGTCTCCGACTTATCAAACTTAAGATTACCGCCGGATGATTCTATACTCCTCGCATATATCCAATTCCTTAAGCGTACCTTCAAATTTGTCACATCGATATTCTCAGTAGCTGCGGCCTCTTCATCCATCTTCCTAAACTGCTCTTTCTTGACATAGTAGCCACCGGGGCCTAGATGATGGTGGTGTTTGTTCCTCTTCGCCAGCTTGGTGTTACGGGCACTGAGCTCCAATGCCTCCGGTAAAGTCTTTTGAGCCACGAGCTCCTCCCATTGACTAGGAGTTATTTTGCTAAACTCGTTGAAGAGAGTTAACCCCTTTTGGATATACTTCATGTTGAGCTCCGACCTCCAACGTCGAAATGACTCTCCCATCATCCTGAAAATATTTTTTTTACCAGTTCGTGCTTACCCTCTGAAAATCTAAAATCGAGCTTCAGCTGGCTATCCCATAGTTTATTCTTTTTGTTCTCTGGTACCTCTTTCCAATTAGGGATTGCTGGGTTCAATTTATCTCTTATTAGGGCCCCGATCGTATTACGGAATCTTCCTCTTAATTCCTTCGGCTCAAGGATCTCCCCTGCTTGTCCGACTTCCGTTATCACATAGCATGCCTTATCTGGATATAGATTTCCTTTTCTATCCCCTCGTTTCCTCTTAGGCTTGATAGTCATGGTTGTGTCTTGAGGTTGTGGAACAGAGGCACCGTGATCCATCTCTGTGGTTGTTGTCTCTGCTCTCCTTTCCTCTACTCCGTCTTGTCCAGCGAGATGTCGCGGACGTCGACGTCGTCTTTTTCGAGTTTCAGGAGGGACTTGTATATATAATAGGTCAAAGTGTTAGCAGAGGTAACACAACCAAAGCTTTAGCAAAATTTACAAGCTAAGGCTTTTTCCCTACCTCCTCCTTCGGGTCAAAATCCTTGTCCAAATCTTCCTCCGTTGGCCTCCTTCTGGCTTCACGTGGGAAAGGATCCTCGGGACTTACATATCCCTCTTCTGAGTCCTCATCATCATCATCAACTTCTTCGCCTTCAGCAGCCTCTCCTGCTGTTCCTTCTGCTCCCCCTTCCTCCTCGTCATACTGCTCTTGAATAAGCATCACTTCTAGATCATTTTCTACCTCGTTATTGAACTGCTCCTGAGTAAGCTCGTCCTCCAGTGCTTGCTCCTCATAGGTTGGCTACTCATCATGATCGGGGCATCGGGCTGCACTATCTGGTGTCCACGACATTATTTTACGCCTTGTTTTAATAGATGCAAGAAAGTGTGTTTTAGGTACGCGAGAAGGTATAAGAAATCAAAAAGGTCTATAAACCAAAGTAGTCATATAAAACAACAATATATCAAAAAACGAGAAGTAACAATAGTAGAGGCCTCAGAAACATGTCAATCATCATCTGATCTTGAACTTGGAGCATCAAGGCATCATAACAGAGAAGAGAGGAGAAGGTAATGTAGGGGCGGCTGCTAATGATGACAAGTTCGTCACAAGTTTTTGATCATCAGCTCATATTCCATATAATGTATGGACTTAGACAATTTCATCATCGGCAAAACAAAGGAGATGAGATGAGAGGGGAGATTTGGCAAAAAAAACAATAGCTGCTTAACAAACATAGAGAGAAAAAGGTGTAAAAAAACAGCAGCAGCTTCCCAAACATAGAGGATAGGAAAGATGGCAAAAATAGAGGAGATGAGAGATTTGGCAAAAAAAAAAGTAGGTGTTGCTTCCAAAAAAAGCAACAGCTGCCATACTGACTTTACTCGATCACACATGAACATCATATGCTTAATATCTTCCGAACCTGATAGTCAGATCGGACAATCAAAAGTAGTAGAAGTAGTAGAAGTAGCAAAAAAAAAGCTTATAGTAGAAGTAGGAGGAGGAGTACCGAGTAGCTGCACAGCAAAGCAAGCAAAAGAGGAGAGAGTTTGCCAAAAAAAAAGCAACTGCTGGTTGCAAAAAAAATAGAGCAGCTGCTGCCAAACATAGAAGTAGTAGAAGTAGTAGACAGAAGACCAGAAGTAGTAGTAGACAGAAGTAGTAGGAAAGACAGAAGTAGAAGTAGTAGACAGTAGCAGTAGGAAAATAGTAGAAGTAGTAGAAGTAGTCGACAGAAGACCAGAAGTAATAGTAGGGAAGTAATAGACAGAAGTAGTAGAGAAGACAGAAGTAGAAGTAGTAGACAGTAGTAGCAAGCTGACACAACATATGGACGACATATAAACCATGAGACAGTTTTCCAATAACATGTTCAGATTATTTGATAATGACAACCACAACTGATCATAGTGACTGAAGCAAGCTGACATGACATATAAACCACACGCAATAAATTGGTAATTATTCCATAGATATAAAAGATGGCGACTACCCAAGACACCTAAATACTACGGACTGAGCCTGTAAAAAAAAGGGTTTGCTTAATTTGCTGTAAAAAAGATCGCCCTGCTAACAATCAGAGGCCATGGACTATGATCAAGCCGAAGAGAGACGGGGGCCTTGGTTTCAGGGACATACACGCATTCAATATTGCCATGTTGTGCAAGCAAGCATGGCGGCTACTACAAACCCCGAACTCCCTCTGCTCAAGGTTACTGCAGGCTAAATATTATCCTGGCCGGTTATGTTTGGAAGCTCAGGCAAGTGATGGCATCTCATATTCGTGGCAAAGTATTTTGCAAAAAGGGGCTTATCTGGAGGGTAGGAGATGGAGCAAATTTAATTTTTTTGGTCCGACCCTTGGCTCCCCAGAGACATGTCCAGGAGACCGATAACTCCGAGAGGGGCTAGTTTGCTGCGAGATGTGGATGAGTTGATTAATCCGGTGACGGGGGGATGGGACATTCAGTTAGTGCACGATACCTTTTGGGAAGAAGATGCACAACTTATCCTGTCCATTCCAGTGCATGGAGGTATGGAGAATAATAAAGCAGCTTGGCATTTTGACAAGAAAGGTGTTTTTTTCAGTTAAAAGCGCATACAAGGTCTATAGACAAGAGCAGATCAATAAAAGTCGAAGGGGAGGGGCATCGGCCTCAGTGCCTGATCCCAGCTATGAGTCAATCTGGAGAAAAATTTGGAGCGTTCAGTGCCCCAGCAAGATGAAGCATTTTCTCTGGCGCTTTTGTTACAACAGCCATCCTCTACGCATGAACCTGAAAAGGCGAGGTATGGACCTGGACACTAAGTGTGCGGTATGTCACAGGTTTGATGAAGATGGAGCTCACTTATTTTTCAAATGCAAAGTGATGGAGAAGCTGTGGACTTATCTGGGCCTGAGTCGAGAAAGGGAGATACTGTTGTTGAAATCGTCAGCTAGAGATGTGATGGAGACGGTGATGAACTTGAAGGAAGAACCAAAATTAAGATGCTGCTATGCTCTTTCGATGTGTTGGTCGGAACGCAACAGAATTAGAGAAGGGGAACATGGGCGGGATGCTATTTGGCTCTCATAATATCCAAGTTCGTATGGCAGAATGGCACAAGCAGCTGGCAAATACTGAAAAGGCGAGACTCCGTGTGGTGAGAAGATGGGAACGCCCTGAGCAGCGCACCAACACAGATAAAGCAAGCATCCAAGTTTTCTTATAGCAACATACCCATGGTATAATCTGATAGCACTGAACTTTATACAGTTCAGTGCAGTTTTTACAGCCATCTGTTCAATGTCATGTGGTTTAAGTAAAAATGTTCTCTAAACACAATAGTCCTTTGTTTTAATATGAACAAGAACATTTAACATTTATATCTCTTATTTCAAAATGATGATCTTTTCAAACTTGCATAAATCAAGCTTACTACAAGTCTTCATGGAAGGTTTCCAAACTTTTTGGACCCTCCTGAGTCTGAACCACACAACCTTGATGCCATACCAGTTCAAAGGAAAAATGTTCAGCTATCGCATAATGAACCTGTTGGTAACCATAAAATTAGGGCACGTCTACTTTGCAACCTGATATCCTTAAAATTCTTGTGCATCATAAGCAAAGGACCAGTAAGGCAGTAAAAACCCTGCTAACTAGACTAAAAAAATTGCTCCTCTCTTATATCAATACAATATCATGTGGTTTCACTACAACGATTCTGCAACCAACTCTAATATAGTTTCAGTTAAAAAAAACAGATATCAAAATGATAATTTCCCAGCTTTGCTCAATTCAACACTACTCTATGCAAGTCTCTATTTTTTGGAGGGCTTCCCAAGTTTTAACAACAGCCGTGAAGTTGATTTCAATGGAAAATGGAACAGGCCTGTGGCCCATCCGTCTAAAATAAAATAACAAATTATAGTTTCGCTACCCCTTGCAAACTCACTGTGAATTCTAACATCTCGATAAACATAGAACACTATTAATATCAGGGTACTGTATCTGTCTTATAGCACTGCTAATCTCCTGGTGCCAATTAGAAAGTCTTGAAGGTATATTTGAGAAAGATTTAGAAACGTACCTGAACCACCGGGTCGCGAGACTTCCCCTTGACGGCCTCCTCCAGCTTCTTGTTATCGACCTAATCAATCAATAAAAGAAAGATGAGATCTGCATCCCCCTCCTAAGCCGCGCAGATCGGAGATCAAAAGAACGAAAGAAACGTAGCTCACCAACAACACAGCGGAGTGGGGGAAGTATCGGAAGATATGGTCCCCGACGCGCTTGGCAACTGGCGGGATTGCCATGCAGGGGGTGCAACCGTGCAGGGGGTGCGCTGGCGTTGGACGGACGGAGGAGGCACGGTTGAGCGGCGAACGGAGGAGGAGTGGTCTGGGCGTATCAATTGGGCGCCCGGAGGTGGCTCGGTTGGGCAGTGCACGGAGGCGGCGCAGATGGAGTCCCTGGGCTCCTCCGCCGAGGAACCGGCGTGGCGGCGCGGATGGAGTCCCCGGGCGGAGGACCAGGTCATGGATGTGGACGGCACGGAGATGGGGAGGAGGCGGCGGCCGGGGGCTCTAAAACCCTAGCGCCGCCGGCCAGAGGAGAGGAAGCGTGGAGGAGAGGGGGTGCGGGCGTCGGGAGAGGTCCGGGGGTGCGGAGAGGAAGCGCGGGCGTCGGGAGAGGTCCGGGAGGCGGCGGGGGGGGGGCGGGGAGAAAGTGAGCAGCCTGACGGCATCGGGAGGAAGAAGAGTGCGCACAATACATTTTCACCCGTGCGCTCTTGTATATATACCCAGGAGGATTTCTAGGGGCGGTTCCTGATCCACCCGCCCCTACAAGGGGCAGTTCCTGATCCAACCGCCCCTACAAATACATTTATAGGGGTGGTTCCTGATCCAGCCGTCCCTACAAATATTTTCTATTTTTTATATCCAGAAATATATCCAGAAATATTCTATATATCCAGAAATATTTTCTATTTTTTATATCACAAAAACACAAAGTAATATAAAAACAATTGTATATATGCACAAATATAATATTTTGTATAATTCTATATATCCAGAAATATATATAAAAACTATTATAGTCAAAACAAGATAGAAAATAAAAAAACAAAAATTAAAAATTTGAATTTTAAAACTTCGACTACAATTTTATGACATTAAAAGAAATAAAATAAAAATGTTGTAAACATAAAAGTTGTATAACTCATCAACATGTACAACTTTTATTTTGGTCATCTTGTCATGTGACTTTGTTTGAACGATTCAAAATTTGAAATTCAAATAATTTCAAATTGAAACAATATTTTGAAAGAGTAAACGATTTCAGATGAAAAACTCGTGAATACCAAAGTTGTAGAACTCATCAATATGTACAACTTTTATTTTGATCACATTTTCATTTGACCAAATTTGAATAGTTGAAATTTTAAATTTCAATAAATGGCAACTTCAAACAAGATTTTGAAACCTTAAATGATTTCAACAATAAAAATCGTGAACATAAAAGTTGTTGAACTCGTCACTATCTACAACTTTTATTTTGGTCACTTCTTCATGTGACAAAGTATTAGTAAACATTGTTCACAAATTCACATATGACTCATAGTTTCATGAACTATACGAGAAACATATTGATTTGTGAACAATGTTTACTATCATTTTATCATATAAAAAATGATCAAAATAAAAGTTGTAGATCTTGATGAGTTATACAACTTTGGTATTCATCACTTTTTCAGCTGAAATCATTTAATGGTTGAAAATAGATTCATCTGGATGTTGCAAATGATAGTCTCACACACATGCATAAATGTAGTCTCACACACATACAAAAATACGTAGTCTTACACACATACATAAATGTATAGTCTCACACGCATACATAAATGAAGCCTTACAAACACACACTTACACAAACACTCCACGTTCAACAACTAGCTAGCCCGCTGTAATGACTTTTCCCTTGACACCTTTTTCGTTCCTATGGCAATATGTCTTTGGGTAGGTTCTTTTCCACAACACTGATCTTCTTAGGAAAGTCTGTGAATAGCGGCATCTCATCGTAGTTATTGTAAGCTTCAACATCGTCCACACCATCAACTCCAATAATGTGCTGTTTCCCGGAGGCAACCACGTGCTTTGTCTTCTTCTTCGGGAGAGGTTACTTTGTGGGTCAGACATATAGAAAACTTGTGCGACACGTGAAGCGAGCACCCAAGCGTCATCTTGGTAGCCTAAATTCTCGAGGTCTAGGACTCTCAATCTGATCTTGTTCAGTTGGTGTTGTTTGATCCAGCGGCATTGAAACAGGGCCACCATTATATCCCTTCCATAGTCAAGTTCCCATATCTCTTCAATGATGCCAAAGTATTGGATCTTTCGCCCCAATCCATCGAGAGCCTCTATTCGAACACCGCTGTTTTGGTTCACATATTTACTATCCTTTGCGTGGGTATAGTACGTATACCCATTGATGTCATAAGCATTCCAAGATGTCACTTGTCTCGATGGCCCCATTGCCAACCTACTGATGGTAATAGAGTCTATGGTTTCTCCAGGCGGTATGTTTTGGTCCTTCAACCATGTAGTTAGTCGTTGCTTATGCTGTTTCATGACCCAATCATCCGAACAGCCATTTCTCTCCGCCATAATGATAGCCAAGTGTTCATCAATGTACGGTTGCATCAGTTGTGTACTCTGCAAGACACTGTAATGCACCCGACTCACCTCTTTGTAATCATGGTTGATGAACACTTTTCTACCACTGGTGCACTTCCCAGCCAGCCTACCCTTGTGACGAGAATCGGGTTTACCAATCTCTTTCTGTACTTTTAGGTACTCTTGATAGCACTCGACGACTTCTTCAGTAATGTAACCCTCTATCATGGAGCCATCTGGGTATGCTCAATTATGCACGTATCGACTTAGAACCGACATGAACCGCTCGAAGGACCATATTTCATGCAAGTAGCAAGGGCCCAGTGCCTGTATCTAATGAACTATGCGAATCATGAGATGTGGCATTATATCAAAAAAGCAGGAGGTAAACACATCTCTAGCTGGTTTTGTGTCTCCACCACAAATTCATGTAGGTCACTCAGTTCTTGCTTGCCAATCGTCTTCTATGAGATCTTCGAAAAGAAGTAGCACATGCGGGTGATGGCCATTTTCAAGAACTCTGGCTTTATAGCCTTGATTGCAATAGGTAGAAACACTGTCAGCATCACATGACAATCGTGAGCCTTACAGTGTGTTATTGATAAGTCCTTCATCGACACTAGCTTCTTCACATTTGCTGAAAACCCAGTCAGGACTTTGACCCCCCTCAGGAAAGTGCATATAGCTCTCTTCTCGTCTGGTGTTAGGTTGAAGCACGCCGCGGGTAGAGTGTATTTTCCATTAGCCTTAGGTACCGGGTGAAGCTGTGGCATCACGTTTAGCTGCACCATGTCTTTTCGTGCTTTCAGACCATCCTTTGACTTGCCTGTATCCATCAAGGTAGCAATGAGACTCTCAAAGACATTCTTCTGCACGTGCATAGCATTAATGGCATGGGGGACCTCCAAGTCTGGCCAATAAGGCAGATACTGAAAGAAGATCGATTGTTTCTTGAAAGGTACGCCTTCGATAGGAGGTGTGCTTCTATCTCTGTTCGTCCCATCCGGATTCTTCTTTCCATAGACGACGCGTATGTTTTTCTCCATTCTGTACACGTGCTCTCCGTTATGACGTCTCTACAGAGGGGGTTCAATCTCTGGGGCGTTGTCATAAAATCTAAAGAATAATTTGCTTCGGTACTTGTGACTTGTCTTTAAGAAGCGTCGGTTTCTTAGGTAAACTATCTTCTTGGATGCATCTAGGTACACCCATGTAGTACCATCCAAGCAAACCAAGCATCCCGTCTTCCCTTTGATCTATCCAGACAAAGCAAACAGCGTGGGGTAATCATTAGTAGTAACAAATATTATTGCTCAACATATGAAGTCCTTCTTTCGGAACGCATCGTACATCTGCTCCCCATGCCTCCATAGCCTCTCCATTTCTTGCATCAAAGGCTTGAGGAACACGTCTATATCAATGTCTGGTTGTTTAGGGCCAGAAATAAGAATAGTGAGGAGAAGGTACTTTCTCTTCTGACACAACCATATTGGGATGTTGTACATGGTCAAGATCACTGGCCAAGTGTTGTGGTCGCTCATCCTCTCATTGAAGGGATTCATTCCATTGGTGCTCAAGCCAAACCGTATATTTCTTGAGTCATCGCTGAATTCTTTGTGCTTCTTATCAAACCTTTGCCACTGACTACAATCAGCCGGGTGTGCAATCTTATCATCATCCACCTTGCGCTCATCATCCCACCATGTCATGAATGCGGCTTCTTTAGGGTTTAGGAAGATACGTCTCAAGCGGTCGGTCACTGGCAGGTACCACATTACCAAGGCAGGAATTCTTCTCTGCTTTGCATCGTTGCCTAATGGAGTATCCTCTGGGGACTGAGATTCTTGTACCACCTTTTTTGTATCCTTCCTATTTCTCTTTTTCCCCGTGGAGGCTTTGTCCCCACTGTAAAGGTCATTGTTCTTGTACCGGCTGGCCCCACACCGGGGACATTTATCTAGTGACTTGAACGTTTCACCATAAAAAAGTATACAGTGGTTGGGGCATGCATGGATTTTTTCAATCCCCATTGTCAATGGACTTATGACCTTCTTCGTTTGGTATGTGTTGGCGGAAACTGAGTTTGGTTGTGGCAACACCCATGACAGGAGATGCAATAGATCATTGAAACTACAGTCTGACCAGCCGTACTTAGCCTTCAGGATGAGTAGCTCAAGCACAAAACGTAGCAATGTCCAATGTGTCGGACAACCCTTTTCAACACCATACACAGTCTTCTTCGATGCTTTTGTCATCCTTTCCAAATTTTCTAGACCTTTTGGGCTATTTAGTAAAATCTCTGGTCCAAGGGCTCGAATCATGTTCTCCAAATCATCTTCATCCCCGGCACGTGCTCCACCATCATTATTGGCACCACCTTCGTCGTTACCATCCCAACCACCAGCATCACCACCTTGTTCATTGTCAAACTCGAAATCCATTCGTGCATCAAGCTCTGTTGAATATTGGGACAGGGATTCTATGGTTTCATCGTCGTATTCCTCCTCATCCTCGTCGTTAACAATAACTGTTTCACCATGATGAATCCACACTGTGTAGTCCTTAACAAATCCTCGCATAATCAAATGTGATCTGATGATAGTCACATCTGTCCATGCCATACGGTTCTTACAATCTTT